CCCCCCCCCCCCCGGTCGCTACGGCCCTGAGAATTTACAAATTAAATCTGTAGATTTCAGAAGAAACAGCATATACTGACATTTAACTTTTGAGAATTTTGATGGAAAGACAGCCATATGTACATTTACGACATAGATAACATACGAATATATGTAATTATGAACGTGGTTATCCTCCGTCCAACGTTTTTCGTAGAGGATTAAATGTTGGAGATTGATCCTTAAAAAAATCTTCAAAAACCTAAATTCCTTAAAAAAATCCTTAGAACTCTTCAAAATTCCTACCCTTAACGATAATTCCTTAAAAGTGAGCGCACTGTGTCCCTAACCGTTAACGCATTCCCTCCGACTTCCCCTCTATCCTCCAAGCTAAGCTAATTACATTTATACTAAAACTTTTGTCTAATGTTTGTGGTTTTGCCATCTGTTACAACCCAATACTTTATTACATACAGTGGCATTACAACGCCAATAGATTATTGGTTACAACGTGCGGAACGGGTGACAATTTAGACTAATTTCCTCTATTCCAATATTCGCCGCGGCTATAGTTTGGTGCAGTTTATCAGTCTCTTTTGGGGTCCATAAGGGGGTCCAAAAGTGGGGGTCCAGGTTTTGTACCGACCCACTTGGGACGATATTTTTCAAAGCAATGATGCTACTGAATCTTATGAAACTTTTTTTTTAAAAAATAAAAACTGCATTCAACAAAAACTTTCCACTACAAAAGAAAAAGAAAAAAAAGATTGATTACTTTAAAAGTCCTTGGATGACTCACAGTATTTCAAAGTCTGTAACTGAAAAAAATAAACTTTATAGAAAATATTTGAAAACACCTCATTGGAAAAATGAAGAAACATACAAAAAGTATAAGAACAAACTAAATCACCTAGTCAAACTTGCCCAAAAAAATTATTATGAAAAACAATTTGTAAATTATAAAAACAATAGTCGAATGACATGGAAAATGATTAATGAAATTTTAAATAGAAGGAATGAAAAATCCACACTACCGGATAAATTTATAGAAAAAGTTTCCAACAAAGCCTTGACAAATCCAACTGTTATCGCAAACAACTTTAATAAATATTTTATTAATGTCGGACCTGAGTTAGCTAGACAAATTCGCATTGAAAATAATGAAAAATCATTTGACAGGTATCTTTCCGGAAGTTATGTGAAAAGTATGTTTGTTGAGCCGGTTACTGAGATTGAAGTAAAAATTGAAATAGACAAATTAAATCAAAATAAAAGTGCTGGTTATGATGAGCTAAGTGACAAAGTAATAAAGTTCATTAGAAATGAAATCTGTAGACCATTAGCTCATATATTCAATTTGACATTTAGTAAGTCATTTACCACTGGAATTGTTCCAGACTCTTTAAAAATAGCATTAGTAACTCCTGTATACAAGGCAAATGAAGACTTTAGATTTCAAAACTACAGACCTATTTCGGTACTATCATGTTTTTCAAAATTATTGGAAAAAGTAATGTATCAACGATTATGATATTTGTGGTGTTACTCTGAGTGTATATACACACCGGGCGAGCTTGAAAAATATGCCCGGCCATGGTGGGATTCGAACCTACGAGCTTTGGAATACTAGTCCAATGCTCTTCCAACTGAGCTACAATGCTCTTCCAACTGGGCTAGTATTCCAAAGGTCGTAGGTTCGAATCTCACCATGGCCGGGCATATTTTTCAAGCTCGCCCGGTGTGTATATACACTCAGAGTAACACCACAAATATCATATTCACCTGAGTACACTACACCAACACAGAAAAAAATTCATATTACTAGAATACATTGGTATCGAAGGAACTAGATTCTGTTCCGAAATATCACTTACTCGAACCGTCCTGACCACGTAGCTCAGTTGGAAGAACATTGGGCTAGTATTCCAAAGGTCGAAGGTTCGAATCCCACCGTGACCGGGCATATTTTTCAGGCTCGCCTGGTGTGTATATACACTCAGAGTAACACCACAAATATCATATTCACCTGAGTACACTACACCAACACAGAAATGAATTGATCCAAAAGGTCTCTTAAAAATAAGAAAAGAATTGATCCAAAAGGTCTCTTATACAAAATTTTTGGGTGTACTAATTGATGAAAATTTAACGTGGAAAAATCATATTGATTCCATATGTAAAACTATTGTCAAGTTTACTGGACTAATTTCAAAATTGCGACATTTTACGAACTTGAACACTATAAAGTTGACCTATTATGCTTTAATTTATCCATACCTTACATATGGTAATTTAGCTTGGGGTAATACATACCCTTCGAAAATTGAAAAGCTTTTCAGAATTCAAAAGAAGACTATTCGATTAATGAAATTTAAATCATACACAGAACATACAAAACCGCTATTTAATGATTTGAAAATATTAAATATTTTCAAAATTAATGATTACCTTACCAGCTTATTTATGTACCGTTGCAACTGTACTAATGATTTACCAGACATTTTTAATGGATACTTCATAAAAAAATCAAACATTCATTAACATTGCATGCGAATTTCACTGGCACAGACAGTGGATTGGACAGTGGTTGCATTGTGTGTCACCGTTAAGTTGTGTGTCACCAGCACAGACAGTGGACTGGACAGTGGTTGCGTCTGCCCTTTTCATTAGGCCGGTGATCTGACCTTACTTAACCCATTAAGCGCCAGCGCTCTCCCCTTGACGAGTAAAATCGTCTGGCGTTAGACAGAGTAAAATCGTCTGGCGTTAAACAGAGTAAAATCGTCTGGCATTAGACAGAGTAAAATCGTCTGGCGTTAGACAGAGTAAAATCGTCTGGCGTTAGACAGAGTAAAATCGTCTGGCGTTAGACAGAGTAAAATACTAAAGTAGGGTGCATCAGGGCACAATGCGACTCAATGGGTTAAAAATTTGACCATCGAGACCGTCCTTGATAAATACAATATTTGAAAACACATTTTCTGTTACTTGTTTATACACCAATTAACATATGAGCACATGGAACTAACCTGGTACACGTCATAATTGAAGAGTTCTTCAGCTGTGGCATAGTCCACTTTTTGGTGGTCCATGTAGATCTTTATTAGGACTTCAGGGAACAGGACCTTCATGATGTTGTCCAGTTCCTTTGAATTTGTGGGGCTATACATTGCTGCCAGTGTATCAGCAACCAGGTGGTGTTCTGAATCTGTGAAGTGCCCCATTGGGCAATTCCAGATGAGTTCCTTACGACCTTTGCTTCCCACAGTGGCAAACAATTTTGCTCTCTCTTTGCTCTCTCCATTCCTTATTCCAGTGAGGTAGCCCTCCAAATCTTTACCAACCAGCCTCATCAGGAATTGAGGATACATCCCCTTGAGACATAATGACTATATAAAAAGTTATGAACTATTCAAGTAAAAATTAACAAAAAAAAACTTTACAAAATAACCAATGTTCCACCAGTGCCACCTTAAGTTAATAAACCGACGAGCGACAGGGCTTTTGCAGGGTTGCTAATCAACCCAAATGAAGCATACTCATGCAATTAAGATTCGACCTAGGAGGGTGGAGATAGCAAAAGTGTTATTTTGTGGATTTAAAAAATTACATAGCCACCTTGATTTAATCATAGAGACACATACACATGAGGAAAATTTGCATATATATATTAGGTATACATGTACCAATTTTGAAAGGATTCCATTGAAATGTCACAGAGATATTTAAATATGAGGGATAACTACCTACTTTGGGAGGATGGTATTTTAGCTGGGAGGTAAACAAAAAATAGGGCGTCCATCTTGGATTTTTTCACAAGAATAGATCTACTTACTCTTACAAGGAATCCCTCCCAGCTATATGATATTACTGTAATGTTAATATTTTTTTCAATAAAAGAAAAAACTATTGTACTATTGTAATTCGATATAAGTATATCAGATTTCACTTTCCGTTTTTTTTCTCATTCCTTTCGACATTTGAAAATAATAGATGACACAAAAAGCATATTGGTAGTACCAGCAGGATGTAACGAATCTACCGACATGATCTTCAACGAGGCAGTTGTCTCATCTTGTTGATAAATCAATAACTAGGAAATACATGCATGCAGAAACCCTCGCCTTGCTGACAAAACCATTATATTTTTCGAACATGAAGTATCTAAAGTAGTTGTTATGGTAACACAATAATTTTAAGAATATTCTTAAAAATGAAAAATCGCCTAAAAATATCACTTTTAATTACAAAATTATCAATTTCCCAACATATATATGTTAGGTATGATATTATATGTAATATTAGCTTCAATTTAAGGTAAAATTCAACCACAAAAGCTTCGCAAAACATTTTAAAGTGTTCTTTATAAAACTGCCTTTAATTAAATGGCTTTATCGATAAACTTTGAGTTGCAATAAAATGATTTCAAATTCTCGCATGCAAATAACTTTGCTTTCTTTTTTATTTATTTAAAAAATTCAATATAATAAAAAAAGGAATCAATATTAAAGATACACTGAAATTTTAAAATTCAACGAGACTTACCTTACGTTGAAGTTGGATTTAAATTCTACAAGTCATCAGCCAGGGAGTGAAAGAGTTGTACGGAATTGACACGAGATAGCGCCGACATCTCACAGAGAACCAAACTTCGTAGCTAGCCTAATATATTTTTGCTCCATGCTATGAGTGATAAGAGTTGTGGGTGGGGTCACATATTTAATGGGAGGGCGTACAACTCTTTCACTCCCTGGCTGATGACTTGTAGAATTTAAATCCAACTTCAACGTAAGGTAAGTCTCGTTGAATTTTAAAATTCTACTACGTCATCAGCCTACGGTCGTTACAGAGTTGTACGGAATTGACACGAGATTTCAAAGCGAGCAGGGAGCAAAAATTCATATAAGTAACGAACACACCCGGTAAGAAACATTCATCAATTAATATAATTACAATATTGGATACATGTTTCAAATTACTAGTTTGCAGATTCCAGCAGAGCTGATCCAAAATTAAATACAGGTTTCTCTAACTGTTTATGGTAAAATGTTTGAAACGTATGTTCATTTGACCAACCGACGGATTTCAATATTGAGGAAATGTCAATGTTATTAGCTACAAGATGCGAGGTTGACGCTGCTCTAGTACTATGTGGTTTGAACTTGTCAGTATCTACACCAGCACTGTTCAGAAATTGCTTGCACCAGCGGGAAATCGTTTCTTTGGTTACCGCGCCATGAGGTTTCTGAAGACTAATAAGTAACTGTTTACATTCTGGTGGACGCAGCTGAGCTGTTCGTTTTAAATATTCATTCAGGTGCTTGATCACACAAAGTTTTCCTTCTGCCGAGTAACTATTGAATATAATTGGCTCAAGGTGTGTACCAGGTCTGCTCTGTTTAACAAGGTTATAAATATAAAATTTACATTGTGTGCCACAAAGTTTCATGTTTTCTATAGATAACATGTGAATAGTTTGACATCTTTGTCCACTTAGTATTAACAATAAAAACGTAAGTTGATGAGTAAGTTCCTTTAGGGTCATTTTATCTAAATCTGGTTTCTTACGAATAAAATTGAATACCGGATTGATATCCCATATGTCTGAATAACGTGGTAAACTTGGTTTTAGCTCAAAGATACCCTTCATGAGCCGTTTTACTAACGATTGTTGCCCAAATGGGGGTTCAGTTTGTAATAAAGAGGATAAGGCACTTCTAGCAGTGTTAATAGAACTATAAGAATAACCCAAATCATATAAATTGGCAAGGAAATCGATTGCAGCTGATATTGAGGCAGTAAGTGGGTGGCAACCCTTGTCTGTACACCATTTTATCCACTTAGTAAGGTATGTCTGATATTGAACTTTGGTACCCTTCCTCCATGAGGCCATAATTACCTTTACTGCAGATGAGGATAGACCTAAGGATTCCACCTGTGTCCGGACACAAGACATATTTTTAGTTCCAGTTTCTGATGTAGTGGGTGGATTTCCGTTGGTCGGGCAGGGAGGACAAGTGTTTGTTTTGATGGTGGTAGAAGAATGGGTTGTTTGACAAGGACTTGTTCTAGGAGGGGAAACCAAGGTTGTGTTGCCCAGTTGGGGACAACCAATATACCTTCTGCCTTCTCCTGAATGATCTTCTGCAACACCTGTAAAATGCAGCTGAAAGGAGGAAAACAATAAATGTTTGTCCTGTTCCATGATATGGAAAATGCATCGATGTGCAATGCACCTGGGTCAGGTTTATAGGAGCAATATTTTGCAAATTGTTTGTTTAATCTGGATGCAAACAAGTCAAGATCTGGTTTGAAACCTAGGTTAGACAATGCATCATGTAAAAGGGATGGCTTTACCATCCATTCTGCATCTGTGTACAAACGACGAGATTCTGCATCAGCTATGACATTAAGGCTGCCTGGGACATGGGCAGCAGTTAACCAAATTTCATTGTTAATACAGAACTCCCAAATTGCAACAACCATATCATTGCCAATTTCGGTATGGCTGGAGCCCATTTTATTAATCATATAAACAGCTGCACTGTTGTCAACCATAATTTTAACATGTTTATGACTAAGTTGGCTCCTAAAGGATTCTAAGGCAAATAGGGCAGCTTTTAATTCTAGAATATTAATATGGGATGTTGCCTCTGTGCATGACCAGTTCCCACCTGTCTTCTGAGAACCGAAGGCTGCACCCCCAACCTTTCAATGACGCATCAGAGTATATAACTTCATCAATTGTAATAGCCTGTGTTATATGACAAAACTGTTGTCAAGGTGGTTGTACCACCATTCCATTTCTCGTATGCCTTTAGCCGAGATACTCATGGATTTATCAAAATTACCCTTACTGACTTTTAGGGCA